TTTTTTACAAAAAATCATTTGTGATTGCTGATTCTGGGAAAAACTTCTAGTCTTGGCCAAAATCAGCTCATGCATTTACTCTATCTGATTAAGACCCAGGAACTTTTTGCTGCTCTGCCTGGGAATCGGGCAATTACAACGTGTGCTTGAAAAAGTACCAACCACGGATCCATCAACCCAGCAAGCCTATTCGGTTTCTCCCGTGTCAATGACTCAAGAGCTTTCATCTATATGACTTCTATTCAGCATGATGTGGCTATAACCTCGGCAACATTGACAGCTGTTATCTCCCAAAGCCATAACCAAGAGCACGTGCCAACATATGCCTCGAAACCCCGTCTTTTTGCCCACAGAAGCTGCTTACAGGATTTAAGTTTACAAAGCTTCGTATTGCGATGAGGAAGATGCCGACGTCGTGCATAACATGCAGGTGGTTGCATGCGTTCAAGCAAGGGAGACCATGCTAGAATATTAGCACTAGTACTACCATTCAACTAGCATGCAAGAGCATGCATATGTACGCTCAAAATAGAAAGGCTCTGATGCGCATCGACAGCCTAGAATGCCCTTACGGCCCAAATGTGCAACAGTTTCGGATCCGAGATGGCTGAGAACACCAAGGCTACCCTGAATGGGGCTTCGGTTGTGGCGCTGGCCAGCCACACTTTAATTGGACGGAAATTTAAGTCTGAAAGCTCGTATTGCTGGAGGCTTTTCACTTGCTATATCCTGCAGGACTTTTCTCGTATTTCATATGATGTGGTTGTCTTATGAATATGACGCCGAAGAGATGGGAATAAGACAAACTGTGTGAAACGAAACTCAACACGAGGTGGTCTTGGCTTTGTTTTGACGTTTGGGAGAATGTCTTGGCTGCGCTATACTTGTATTTGGTAAGCTCAACGCCAGGGAGACAGAGATCCTTCAGTGCGACTCTAGTTTGGCTTGGTTTTGGACTTGTTTATTCGCACATCTCTTCATTCTTCTATCGTTGCCTTGCCAAGAAAAAAAAAAAAAACAAGTAATACTACGTAGTAATAGAACATATATAGGTAATTAAGATCAAGGCGTCCTTATCGACTGTGTCAACACATCAACCAGCAAGTCAACTGGAAGCTTCTGAGGCGCACTGGTTAGGCATATTCATCCAACCCAGTGATGGAGGAGTCATTTACCTGGAATGGCAATCGCCGTCTTGAATATATCCACCAAATAGCCTAAGCGCCGGCTCCGATCAACTTCGGCCAAGGCTGTCCGCTCTTTCAACCACCCTGCACATCAGCAGAGCGCCATCGCCTGTTCTTCTCGAGATGGACGACGATCAGTGGTAAAGTTGCCACGCCTGCGACATCTTACTTGTATTCGCACTCTACATACGCAATCAAGGTACAATTTATATTAGGGATGCACAAACATAAAGTAAACGACGAATGAGTGAGATAAGTTCGTCACTGTGCGTCGTACGCCGCTGCAGCCCTACGGGGCTTATCCCGCGAGGATGCAGCAGAGTACCTATACGTATGACAATATACATGCACCTGTATCAGCCAAGCGCGTGCTACACCCACTCCGCCGCTCATTTTCCCAGAGTGTCAGTAGGGAGATGAAACGGTGTCCATGAGTGGCAGGGTGGACGAAACGAACTGGAGGAGCCGCGCCACCAGCCGGCTCAGCCATACCGAGCAGCGCTACTTGTACGGCTATACTCCAGATTGCCGAAAGAGGCAAGTCTAGGCCTTCTCGCATGGTACAACCCGGAGCGGCGCAGGCGACGTTGAATGGCTGTGTTGGAGGTGGGTTGTGCGTTGCGCTCGCGTTCGTTCTCGGTCGTCCAAATAAGGAGCGTTTGGTAGTAGCATCGATGTTTTCTCACAATTTTATTAAAAATCGTATTCCTTTTCTCTTGAATAATAGTAATGATGATTTTTATTGGTCTCAAAGACGATAATACTAGTAGTTGAGGGAAAGTAACATGTACTGAATCCAGTTGGGGCGCACTATGCGTCATACCGAAGAAGATCCGGACCTCCAACGCGGCAATGCAAATCCCGCCACAATGGTCGCGGGGATGCGTACCTTGCATTGGCGATGCAAGAGGTAAGTAAGTAAATACATGCAAAATACAGGAAATGTGGCATTTCATGTATACGGAACAAGCCAAATTTCTCATTTGTTCTCGACCAAGGCGCCTCATTGCCAAGCTAACGAGCTAGCCAATCATCTTCCACCTTTGTTCATATATCTCGGAAATAATCGACAAATATACCTCATTTCCAGGATATACTTCACCACAGCCTCACTTGAACTTTATTTCACCTTTTGCCTCAAGTTAATCATAAATCTCGCAGTATCATACATAATACCTCATTGCTAGGATATGATGTACTGCAGCCTCACTTCAATTCACCTCGCCTTTTGCCTTGCCCTACAGGTACTACATGGCTTCTTCATCTCATCCTAGTACTCAGCTACATGACACCTCATTATACCATGTACCACAGCCTCACTCTGACCTCGCTTCCCTTTTTACCTCAACTTTATTCCCATCTCGCATGCAGGTGCATATGGGGCAAACGGCAAATGATAGAGGAGCCATGCCAATCAAATCGCTGATGCACCGCCACTACGATGGTCTAGTCTTGGTAGCTGCCGTGGTTCGATGGCAAGCCCGCATGTATGCCTCGTTGGCTGGGCGGCTAGAGTCTTGCATGGAAAGCGTATTAGTGCCTCCCCTGCGAACTTTTGTTATAGTCCACAAGCCACGCCGGGAGTCTCAGATCCTGCTCGACGCTGGGTGCGGATTTTGGTGACTGTACTGTAGGTGTAGCAGACGTGCCAACTGCCTAGGCGGATCGCTCTGGGAGTCATTCCGGGCTTGGCGACTGGTGACTTTGCACCGGATATCTCACCAGAAAGATAGAATACGTTTGTGCCTGTCCATCTGTCTTGCGGTAAAAGACATCATGGGACCGGAGCTACCCGGTCGTTAGTTGGGAACGAACAGCTCTATACTGGACTTACACCCCTCTCCGGAGCTGTGACTCTTTTTGCCCGGGCTGTTCTTGTTTGCTGTCTTGCTCATTCTCCTCATCTCTATCTGTCCTTTGTCTAAGGTAGGTATTTACATAAGGTACCTAGGTAAGTGATAAACAATTTTCCTATAATTTTTCCGTGTACAGTACCATTTATATGCACCATCTGTCGTAAGAGTACCTCGGATGGATAGCCTCGCTGCTGGCAATACGTGTACTGAATAAACGCCATGCCGCTCGTCTCTTCAGCCCCACCCGCGGGAGCCTAGTTTTGGCCCCACTCTATCCACCACTCATTACCTTTTTCTCCACCGCTCTGCTGACAAAGGCTCCAATTGGCCAATCGCGGCCCCCGGATTCTTTTCCTGCCAAGACAGCGCTACTTCAGCGACTGAGCCGGCAGCTTGGGCGCTTTCCATCCATCTCAGCCTTTCTGTCGCTTCTCCCACGAACACATGATTTGCATCTGCAGCTGCAGCTTTTGCTCTGCAGCACAGCATCTGCCAGGCTGCAAACCCTCTGCTCACACGCCCTGCCGCCTGGCGTCTCTCGCACGCCCTCCATTGCCCAAACGGGATGGCGGTCCCGGGTTTGGCGCAGACGCACCGATCTGGCCGCTGTCACCAGAATGGCTCTTCTTCTCCTCGGGGCGAGTCGGAGTGGAGGGATCGTGGAGGGGGGCCAGGGGTGGCCCCGAGCCAGACGACATCTCTGGTGGAGCAGGCCCACGGCTGCCTGGCTGGCTGTGATCAATCCTCCAGCATCGCTATCGAGATATAAGAGGCCTTTGTTCGGCCTGAATAAACAGGTAATTGAAGCATTGCATCGAACATCTTTGTTGTATCTGTCCTACATTCACACATTCAGCTTGGCCAATTGTGTCTACTTGACTTGACAGCAGTAACTCCATTGTTCTTCTATTGACCAGAGATATATCGATGGGAAACAGTCTCAGTCCTTCTGTTGTTTACACCAATATCATCTGGATAAAGCAAATATACTCTTCTTGTTTTCTTTATACCAGTACTATCACGCACCCATCTCCTCCCTAGCAGTACATACATCCGGCGTTCATCAACAGAAAAAGTCTGTAGCCATGTTCAACACCTTCAAGTACGACCCAGAGACCAACAGTGTCCAAGAGCTCAGACGAGCGTCTGACCCCATCTCTGCCCGGTCAAGCCAGCACCAAGCTTGCAATAACTGCCACGCTAAAAAGGTATTACGCCGCAGAAGCCATACCGAAGGCACTGAACCACTTAGTTTGTTCCTTAAAACGGGCGCTA